CGAGTAAAAATTCGATATCTCAGCAACAAAGCTGATTGCGCACGAACCAAGTTGGGATTCTTCATAGTCCATGAGGATCTACATTTTAAAAATAGTCCCACTCAAAAAGATTTTCAGCACCTCAGGCGGTTCCCTCGTGAGATGAAGGAAAAAGAACAAAGAAAACGTGACATCACTGACAACAGTCTTAATATATATGTTATATATATTTAACGCACATTTTAATGTGAGCACACTACATATAAGGTGAATAAGAAAACAAAACAAAATCGCTATTTGTCGCAGTTCTATTGTGCGCACTTTACCTGAATGAACAGAAAAGGAAAGAAAAACTATTTCTTATACACGCGCATATTTTGCAATAAACGTACTTCAAAATTATTCATTCAATCCATGACATCAATTAATCAATTTGAGACGCTCCCCTACATTTTGGAATTCTTGGTCTGCTAGAGATTTTGTAGTCTTATATATACAGATTCTAATCTGGCAGTTCCAGTTCAAACAATGTTTCCTTTAAAAAAAGCTGGCAAAAGATCCATTCTGCTGTATCAAAACTTTTTAACCTGGTATTCATCATCAAGAGCTCAAATTCCACTAATACTGAAGATTTAAAACGATTAACATATAGTCGATGTAAAGTCTGGTACACTTACAAAAGAAGTATCCTGAAACATTTTCATCATACAACTAGAATGTCTTCCTCCTATTATTGACCACAAAGCATTTTGTCTCTAGTAAAAAGTCGCAATAAATATACACTTTTTTTATTAAACAGTAAATAACAGTAAACGTAACAGAAAAAGAAAAAAAAATACACATTCTGTATTTGAGAGTTGATTAAGCTGAAATTTCTAACCTTGATATTGGAATATTATTTACAAAAATATGAATAAAAAGGTTGTTCGACACACTTAAGCTGGAACATAATTCATGATAACATGGATTTCACCGTGTGACGATAATCCCAAATGAGCTGGCAGTTTAACCCAATTATCATAATGACCCGTTTCCAGTACATCTTTCAATTTAACTTTTCCATTACCAACTGAATCTTTTCCAATCAAATCTTTGTCATAAACATCAAAATGTATAATATCATCACCTTTTAAAAGATTAAACACGAATTTTTCATTCCAAGTTGGATTATTTGTATTTTTAATAGTAGATGTACGTTGTTTGTATTTTTTATTCATATAAATCTCAATATATGGATCATTTTCACCAATCAAATCACGATCTTTTAACTTACGTCCTTCAACGATAACAACTTCCAAGTATCCTTTTGACATGTTAAGAAAAAATTTGTATTTTAATGATTTGTTCAGTATACCTGTGCTTATATTGTATCTGCAATGCCTTCTATTTATATCATTCTTCTCTCTTTTTCCTTTCCATATGACTAAGATATTCTACAAGAGTCGTATGACTCACTACCAGACTTTAAAATCTACCTATACGCCTCAATTGATTAATAGGCGTCACAGAATGTTGAATGAATAATTTTGAAGTAGTTAAAATATACAGATAAAATATGCGTGAATTCTATTAGCAATAGTTTTTCTTTCCTTTTCTGTTTATTCTACTGTAAAAATCAGAAAATTCTAGAATAAGACGTCATTGATTACTCTTTGTGATTTCATTCATTAGATATTATTAATTTTTTTCTTTGTCATGAAAACTTGAAAGATTTAATTGACATATAGGATTTAGTCGTTTAGGCGAGTTTTTATCTTTGAATCATCGACTGAGGATGACCTAGACAAGTTCCTTGTTGAACTTTTGTTATTACCCTGTCATTTTATTAACATCATGGACTAAAATAAATTGATTGACTGATTGATCGACAGAGCTACGCAAGCAAGGGTCTCTTTACTTTTCTGTGAAACATACCTTTTCTACGGTTATCTTTACTGCTAAGCAAAACTCATGCCCAATTCCACATTCTAAAAGAGTCTAAAGGGAAAAAGTGATAGAGGATCCATCTCAAAAAGATTGATCAATTTAGTATGAATATGTTCTGTCTGATTTTTTCACCAATGACTAATTCAATATTTTTGTTGAATCACCACAGAAAATGTCTTTCTCTTTTTCTATACTACCGCCGCTTTCATAAGATTTATTTTAATTAATCCAGAACACTTGGACTCACGTGGAACGTATTTCAAGTGATACATTGCTTTCTCGATGAAACAAGGTGGACTGTAGTATCCCGTCGTGTCTGAATTTAGTACTTTATAAAATCATTGAAAAATTTCAATTTTCTTGTATTGTTTCATATCAATCTGGTTCATTTTTTCAGTCATATCTGATTTAATCAAAGCATCCCATTTGTGTACCTATTTTGACACGTAACCTACGATCCAAGAATAAGTGAACGAATGTCAAGTATTAGTTTTGCATGTGCTACAGAGTAAACGTTCTTTTGGTTGGACAGAATAAAGTCTGACCTTCTAAAAACATACAAAACAAGATTTAGTGATTGAGTATGGACAAGAAACAATACAATTATCTCTTCGGCTTGATCAGCCAACTTCGCTACTAGAGTATAATTCTGTCACGGTTTTTGGTATTTTGTTTCTCTTATAATTTTCGAATGGCAAGACGTTCAGAGCTCTGAAACATTCCACAAATTAAAGAGAAAAGTGTGCTACACATTTTGAGATGTGCCCGCAGTCTACATGATGTTTCATTCAGAAAATGTGACAAAAATACAGATAACTACTTTTTCCGATAAGTTTGAAAAGTAGGACATATACTTCTACAAACCGGAAGAGTTTAAAGAAAGTCTGAACGGTGTTTCCTTAGCGATACAAAATTGTTGAATTTTTTCTACTGTAAGAAACCGTTACTCATCACATATATTTATATGATTCATAATTCAAAGAGTATTGATTACTGAAATATTTGACAATATTTTGTATGGATTACGTTGAATAGACAAGAGAGGATCCGTATGTGCATGCTTTGTAGTCAATGCCAAGATGTTTTTCAGCTGTTTTCATACGTTTCAACGCATTATCAATTTACTATTCATATTGATTGAAAAACATTCTATCGTACCACAAATCACTGGAAAACGAAACCATACCTAACTGTACCAGAAAGCAAATATAACAGAGTTCAGCATGGATCGAAAATTTTCGATTCGATCACTCTGATCCCAAGAGAGACTTTCTTTTCAAAAATTTCATTTGTAATACTTTCTCTGGCTAACTGAAGTAAATGTATTTCTGGCGCTAATGTTCACTTTTCCATGAGTTCTTAATCTTATATTTTTTCAACAAAATGGATATTCAAAATCATCTTTTGTAACTAGGGAGCCGATTTAACTGTTAAATCGTTTTTTCAACGAAACCTAGTGGATTATATGTTATCGACTATGGTGATTCCGAATATGACCATGGCAGTTGCTTGCTTATAGATCTCCAGACATCCGGTTTTTCGAAAATCAGTGTTTCAGAAACTCTAAAAAATGCTCAAAACTTTTCTTAATGAGGCATAATTGTAGTCCACATATTTCTGATTGAAATAAGACATCTTCCAGTTCTACGCGATCTTTCTTAGCAAACTTATAGAATTTAGAAGAAAAGCCCTAAATGTTCATTGTCAGCTCAAAGCTGCAGAAATAGGAAGAAATTAATTTAGAGCTTTTTTGGTAAATTTATAAGTTTGCAAAGAAAGGTCGTGTAGAGCTGGGAGAGGTCTCATTTTAACCAGGAATGTGCGGGCTACAATTATACGTTATTAAGAAAAGTTTTGTTTATTTTTTAAAGTTTCTGAAAAACTAATTTCCCCCAAACCGGATCTCTGGAGACCTATACGCAACTGCCATAGTCATATTCGGAATCAGCATAGTCGATAACATATAATCCACTAGATCTCATTGAAAAAATGATTTAACAGTTAATTCGGTTTGCTCTTCAGTGGTATTCTTTTTGCTCATCTTCTAGCTCGATTGTGAAAACATGTTTTAAAAGAGAATATTTATCCAAGCTTTTGTTATTGCGATTTTTATTCAAAAAACACCTTGGACAGTACAGGCTGCATTGTTCTCGAAGGATAAAATAGAACTAGAATGCAATTGTGCTGCGCAAGTTGCAATGTGGACAGACACTCGTTATATTAACAGAGACAGCGAGATCATTAAAAAACTGAAAAACCGTATTCTTCTCGATGATTTATAGTAGTAATAAAGTTTTAGTTATTATTTTTAAAAGTAAATTAGTATATCTTTTATTAGATGCTTGCATGTGAGAAAAAACTCATTAATTAAAAGATATGTACACAAATTTATTTCTCAATTCTGTCATAAAAAAAAAATAACGCCAGGCAATTAGAAATATATTCAAAATTTCGCAGTCCAAAACACATTTTTCTTCTACTTGTAAAACTCATCGCGCCGAATCTGGACTTTTGTTTAGAAGAAGAACGTGAAATGGTTCACATTCAGTATCCAGAAAGCTATCTTCCGTTTTCAGAACGTCTCTACGTTACGTAGTTCTCTGAATCATGCGACTCACTTTTTGCAAAACCGATGACTAAATAGGAAAAAAACAACAACAAACAAAATTCCCTGAACAAATTTATAATGTCTATTGACATAAAAAGATATGCAATCGCATATTATTTACGATACTTCATGTGCTGCCTGTGGCGTAAGACACATACAACAAGACAACACGGCAGACATAACAACGCTTTGGAGAACATGGCCTCTTGAATGATCCTATGTTGAATTTTTATATATCAAGACGAAATGTTCTTTTGCCTAACCGTAATGTTAAATCTAAACTACTATAAAATAACGTTAATAAAAACGACTGATGAAAAAACTCTGAAAATTCAACGTTTGAACTTATGATTTTATCATATATAATTTATTCTCGGTTGCTTTCTCAAACTATATTTCGAATTTTCTGTTCTCATATCCATCAGCTTCACGTAAGGGAAGTTAGCAGCAGATTTCTATATTTTCGCCTAACGCTTGTTATTAAAGCTGGGCCATCTCTGGAAATAAGTGTATCAGATCGAACTCGATGAGCTCTATAGATTCGTGAAATCAGTTTTCCAAAACATTGTTGAACTCGCGTTTAAAATGCAAAAATATTGATTTTCTGAACTTTATATTTTGGCCTGACGTTTTATATTAAAGCTGTGCCATCTCTGGAAATAAGTGTGCCAGATCGAACTCGATGAGTTCTATCGATGGGTGGAATGAGTTTTCCAAAATATTGTTTCCTTCGATTTCCGCCTTTCTTTTGTTTTCAAAATTTCTGATTCATCTGGCCTGGAACAGGAGATATTGCAAAGTTTTTGCCGGAATCCATGTTCAGACAACTGAAACGTTTTCTAACAGGCTGTCTGGTTACGAAAACTTCGCGATACTTCAGTCAGAAAGCCAGACTTACAAAAACAAAATACACGGGGCTTGAAATATGCATTTTTTCACGTAAAGTGAACCTCACTGCAACGATTGACGAGGATGACTAACCCCCCCCCCCCCCCCCCCAAAAAAAGCCAAGCGGGATATATAGGTGGGGGGGCAATTTATT